ATGTGGGGGGGAGGGGGGGATGGGCATGGAGGAGGGCACTTTGGGGATGAGCACTGAGTGTTATGTGGAAACTAATTTGACAATAAACTATTTGTAAAAAAAAAAAAAAAAAAGATTTGACTTCTCTGTATGCTTATGTTACTGGAACATTCATCACGATGCACTGTAAACAAATGAAAGATAGTTTGCTAGTTGTGTGAAAATAAACAAAAGGGACAGACATATGAACAACAGAGCAGTCACCTTTTCTCTTTTCAATCTCTTTTGGCAGGAACATTAAGATTTACACATCTGGCCTTTAGATGGATACAGTATATTTATTTAAAATTTAAAGTAACATTTTAGTCCTACTGATTTTTGAGGCTATGTGAGTGTTTTATTTTTCCCTCTGGGGAAAATTTGCAAGTCAGGTTTTATGCAACCAACCCAAAGTGTGAGCACAGTGTGTTAAACAACTGAGAATTTCAACTGTTTTAGTGACTCTGGCTCCGAGGAAAGACTGTGACATTATATTTCAGGCCATTTTGTCTAATAGTAATTTCACTTTCATTACTTTATGCAGCCAACGCAGCACTGGAGCTTGGCTATGGAGTAAAGGGCATTGTGTTTTTGAAACTATTAATACCATCTCCAGTTTTTTAGACATCTTTGGTGGCATTTCATCCCAATGCACTAAGCAGGCTATTTTTTTTCCCTTGCATGCAATACTTAAATAAAAGATGATTCTAACTTTTTTTCAGGTCTTGTAGTTGCCTTGATCGCATGGCTCTGCATTTTAGGGAGATGCTTTGAAAAATAAAGCACTGTAATCATTAAAGATCCACTGACAATCACCTTCTGTAGATATGCTATTATACCTCACAGAAACTGAAGTTTCTTACTGACTATGAGCATTTCCTGTAAAAATTCAGAGTCCCAGGGGCGCCTGGGTGGCTTAGTCGGTTAAGCGTCCGACTTTCGCTTAGGTCATGATCTCGCGGTTCGTGGGTTCGAGCCCCGCGTCGGGCTCTGTGCTGACTGCCGGCTCAGAGCCTGGAGCCTATTTTAGAGTCTGTGTCTCCCTCTCTCTCTGACCCTCCCCTGCTCATGCTGTCTCTCTCTCTCCTAGAAATAAATAAAAATATTTAAAAAAAAATTCAGAGTCCCTTTCATGTTTGTATGGAGACCGTTTCCTTAGATTCTGACTATATATTTTCCAAGGTAGAATATTATGTCTCATTTGTTTGTAGTCTTCCAACCAACAATTTACTCTGTGATGTATGATAGGTGTCTGAGGGCGCACGCATGGTGGGAGGTGATGGTAATGGAAGGCACTCAGAAAGCGGATCCTTAACTGCATTACCTATTACTCTGTGTATCCTGAACTCCAAGAATAAGAGCTCCTTTCTTTCCAGCTCCTTATAATGTTCACATATTCTCTTCTTCACTGAATGCCTCATTAGCTTTATCTTAAGTGAGCTTTGTTTACCCAGAAATTTGTGTTCATTGTTAAATAAGACTATTTTTCAAAGTGACAAAAACACTGTATTGCCATGGGGCTACTTTGAAATCTGCTGCGAAAAGTGTTCTGCTTAAAAATCAAAACACAAATTGTATGCTTACGTTTAAATGCTCTTGGATTACAATCTTTCCGAGACCTTGCTCCAAGTGACATCTTATTAGTTCACCTCTGTTTGGATTAGGTCCAAATTCATGTCTACCATACAGTGATTGATGCTCTGCTCTCTGGTGCACAGCATGTGCTCATGACCCAAGTATCAAATGTTTATCCGACCTTATGTGCCTATTCTGAGAGAGTCCTCACTTTGGGAGTGTCTTCTATCTAATTCGTATGCTAGGTGTTAACCAGATGTGCAGTAATAGGAAAGAGGATGGCTCAAATGTTACCTAGAGGTTATATGCCTGTGGTGACCATTTTTCTAAACCCAAAATTGAGACAAATTGGTTGACAAGTATGAATAAACTCATGGGCACAGAGGGAGATAATATTTTTAAGTAGAACAATCTTGGAAATCACAAGTTTAGATATAAACAAACCCAAGTACACAGACATACAGAGACATACATATCCTTGGTTAAAAGCAGAGCCACCCATTCCCCTCAACAGAAATGACCTCTGACCACTGGTAATGTTCCAGGGTTATTCAGTATAGAGATATGTAACCATTGTGTGCATCTTCCATTTCAGTCAGTTTAATTTACACAGGTTTGAAGATTCATGTCAAGAATGTAGTTAAATATTAGATATGTTTTTAATAATCCAGTGAATCCAAATTTAATTTTATGTTTAGATATAGCAGTTTATGAATTTATAGTAAATAAAAATTCAAAGTCCTTCACCATTGGGATTTCACATTATTTTTTAATTTCCAAACTTTCAAACTATGTGTATAGCTCATAGTATTATATTTTGTTCACTAAGAAAAAAGCAAAAATATTGTGTTGAACATATAAATCATGTATCTCACACCACTCTAAATATTAAAGTAATAGGCAATCACTGACATCATTCTAACATTATATTTTCTGTAAAGATACACATACACATTAAGCACATATATATGTTTATTTATTTATATTTAAAATTGTTGATCATTTTTTTGAGATTTTTTAAGCTTCTTTTAAGAAATAAATATTTCCAAGTGTGCTTAAAAAGCAAATGTTACAATCAAGGCAAGGATTTCACAGTATAATTGCCAATAAAAGTATCTCAAGAAATTCGTGTTCAGTTTAAGGGTCCATGCAGACATCCCCAAGTCATCTTGGAGAATCTATAATGATGGTAACTCTTATGAGACTCATTCTCTTCCATATGAAAAAAAATAATACAGCCTTGACATTGATGCATGCAATATATTTTTAAGATGACATTTACACAGTACTATTCTTGCTAGGAAAAAGTAACAATTCAAAGAAGAAAGCTTTTTTTATAGTATGGTGCAATATGACTGAAAAGGCCTCATGTTCCAATTTCTACACTTTGCTACTCATTCTTTGAAGAAGTCAGTACTATCCTAATGGAAATTTCTTTTAAATATTCAATATGTAAAGTGATCCCATTACATATAGCACTAAAATATTTACCTAAGGAAATTTAGGTGATCCGATGTGGTTTTTTGAAAATAAAAGATAAATATCATACAATGCTTTCAGTTTTATTCATGGTAAGAAATGAGCACATCTGTGCGTGTTTGTATCATATGTCTGAATGCTAGACTAGGAGCTATGCTTAGTTAAACTGGCTGCAACAACGAATGGGGTATGGCAGCATAGACTTTATATAAGAAGATCAAATTAAAAAGTACCTTTAAAATTCAGTGAGGAAAAATTGAAGAGGACTAAGTTCAAGGGTAAGCTGAGTCAACTCTACAAATATAATACAGAAAATAATTAGCGAGCATGAGACACATAAAGCTCAGTTCACAGATTCAGGTGTTAAAGAAATATAATTTCATCTTCTGAAAGTTAATTTTAGATTCTAAGCCTCCGTTCTGTTGGGTGGATTAAAAAAAATTAACACGTTACTTACGGGCTTAGCCTCTACCTCTGCCATTGAGTTCTGTATTGTGATTCTGAGATCTTACACCGTGCTCTGCTGAGGCTGTGTTCCCAGGGTTACCTCCACATTGCCCAGTACTGACTTCAAGACCCAGCTTGGCCTCTCCAAATGCAGATGGTCCCTGCTGCTCTTTGAAACATGGAGTTCTTTATTTCTATCAACTTGCATTCTTGACATAGGTATTTTTCTCTGGATTACGTTACATTCCTGGTGAGCTGCCCTGACTATAAGCAAAGAATCCATCGATTTCCTTCCTTTTTTCCTCTCTGCTTCTCATCAATTCTCCTCCTTGTTAAAAATACCTTTTTAGTCTCATATAGCTAAGACCACTAAGTAAAAATTGCAAGTAGGCCTGATGATGTATTGAAGTCAGAAAAAGAACTTGGAAGCTTATAACTGTGGCCAAGTGAGAATCTGCTTAATTGATAAATTGTATAGAGACGAGGGCCACCGCAGTCCCTATCCTTCTGTGGCTTGGAATAGAATTGAGGGAGGGAGTCCACAGTTCTGAGCTCCTCTCATCTGGTGGATTCCTCATTTCATGCAGGTTTGTAAGACCTCTGAATTCACAAAACACTTTTATGTAGGCACAGGCACCCAAGGATAGAGACATCCACTCACTCATATACTAATCCTGCATTTGTCCTTTGCAGTAGATTTTGGCTTGGTAGTAAAGCAAACTGAAAGCAACCTTGCACAGGTCTAAGTCATTTTCCCAGACCTGGAGCCACGCCAGCCTTGGTTGTCAAATCTACCTCACTTCACAGCTTCTGTCTATCATTTCCCACTCTGAGGCCACAGGGTTTGGAAACAGTGGGCAGAAAGTCTGCTGTCCTGAGCAGAAAGGAAAATATGATGAGTGCAAGTAAGAAAATAAAAGTCAACATCTTAAACTATTACCAAAGTATAAGTCCAAATATAAGTGAACAAGAAAAATACCTCTATGTCACAGAACATGAGCATAAATAATCAATAACTTTTATTCTTTAGATTTGATATTTGTTAGAAATAGAGGCATACTGTAGAAAATTGTGAAAAAACTATCATATTTGGCAAGAAAAAAAAGATTGCAAGGGTTCATTTTTTTCAAAACACCTCAATTCACTAGTGAATCTCTCTTGTTTCTGAGTGACTTTTTTTGGTGATTCACTTGTTGCCAAAGATTTGGAATATCTCTAGGCTGAACCTGGTAGAAATTGTGCAGTAGGTATATTTCTCTTATGAATCCGTGCCATTCCTCTTCTTGTAAGGGTGATTTACCTGATTTCTTTGTGTTCTCTTTCCTTCTTTCTTCTTAAAACCTACTTTGGAAAGGATGTGACACAACATTCATAGCATACTTAGAAAACAACTCCGTAAATAGGGAAGTTCTATTTGGAAGTGAACAAATACTTCAAGAATATCAAGGCTTTGGGGATCAATGTCCCACTTCTGTGTCCCTTTTCTAAGGACATAAACATACTTCCAGTTTGAGACCAGTAATTGTTTTAGTAACAACTTGTCTGATAAATTTTTATCTCTCCACATATTAAATATTCAAGAGTTGTAATTCAGTCCTTCACCTATATATTTTACTTGACATTAAATGGAGAATTCTACAAGATTAATTTAGTACTTTGAGAAAAAGTGTCATACAGTTGCTTACAGAGAAAGCAAGACATGATACAAATATTGGAGCCTCTGGAAGTCAGTGCACAATTAGATTCTCTTCTCTCTTCCATTCTTCACTATCCTACCCATAAATAAAACTTGACTGTACATTTATTTTAATGCCATGACTATAAAGATACAGGAAAATATGTTTAAGTTCAGTTCTCAATGAATTTTGAATAATAACTCAAATTCATGAATTTCAGGGATTGGAGGGAGAAGAAGCCTTCTTTTCTTATTGATGAGAGTAGCTTTTAACTTAAAGATAAGTTTCAAGATTTAACCTAAATGGTAATAACTTCGTATCTGGATAGGAATATAGTGTTATAGAAATATAATTGTGATCATCTCAATGTTTTATGGTGGTGCTCCTCTGTATTACCAAGTAAGGCTCAGAAGAAATCCCACTCATTAGAAAAAAAATTTTTAAAGGTGGAGGGGAGAGCCTGGGGCTCATTTAAGCGTCTGACTTCAGCTCAGGTCATGATCTCACAGTTCATGGGTTTGAGCTCCACATCAGGCTTTGTGCTGACAGCTTGTAGCCTGTTTCAGATTCTCTGTCTCCCTGTCTCTCTGACCTTCCCCACTCATGCTTTGTCTCTCTCTCTCTCTCAAGAGTAAACAAACATTAAAAATAAATAAAAAAAGAAGAAATCCTACTGAATCATGTGCAAAGTAAATTTCAGTAATTGAGTTACATAACCCATTGGGGTCATCATTATTTTGAGAATGTATGTTCTTATTAAGCTTTCACACAATTATTGTATCAAATGTGCATTTGGAAAGCTTCTAACATTTAGAAGCCATGGGACCATAAGTAGTTTGATTTGAAGTGATGATCATGGTTTGCTTTCAGTTGAATGGGGACAGAAATTTTTATTATGATTAGAGTAATTGGCATATTTTTATGGATTCATTTTTTAATTTGGCACCCATTCAACTTCACAGCTCAAGCTACAGTAGTGGCATGATGGATTACTGTGGGTTCTTTTCATTATTATTAAATTTAATTAATTTTTGCTCAGGTACCCAGATGTGAGCAGCATCAGGCTTCTAATCTAATAATACAGACTGGAAAATATGTGCTGTCAATTACAGACATTTTGTAATGGAAACAATTAAAAGAATCATTAATGAAAAGTAGTTTGCCTCCCAATGTAGCTGGCTCTAGTTAATCAAAGGTACTTTGAAATTGAAGTCATTAATAAACTTTTCTTGCTTTTATACCAAGAAAGTGCTCTGAGATTTATTTTTGAAATTAGAAAGGTATTTTGAAAAAAAAAATGACTTAATGTATTTTGCTTTTTATAAAAACGGTTTTCTTCACCACCAACATATGTTTAAAATAGAAAAACAACTAACAAAATAAGGATTTCAATTTTCAGTGAAAAAAAAATTCCCTGTAGGGGCCCCTGGGTGGCTCAATTAGTTAAGCCTCTGACTCCTTATTTCGGCTCTCATGATCTCACAGTCATGAGATCGAGCCCCACGTCCAGCTCTGCACTGAGTGTGAAGCCTGCTTAAGATTCTCTCTCTCCCTCTTCCTCTGCATTTCCCCCATTCATGCACATGTTCACAGGAGTGTGCATGATCTCTCTTTCTCTCAATAAACAAATAATAATAATAATAAAGTAAATTCCCTATAAATTTAATTAGTATTTTTGCAGAGATGGAGGTGATAAACATTTTTACTTACTCTGCTAGTCAGTCTCCTCGTTGCTCCCACATCAATTGTTTTTAAAATGTAGGAAATATTACATAGAGTCCCTTACCTTCTAACCTGGAGTGATTTGGGCCAACAAGAAGCAACAGCAGGAGACTGAAGGCAGGAAGAAATTGGAGTATTTCTTTCTGCTTTCCTCCCTTCGTTGGCACTCTAACTCTGACAGCCACTGCATCTCTTTCTTCGTAGCTCTTCTCTGGGCCCCAGTAAAATATTCACCCCTCTTCAGATGTAGTAATCATTTCCTAGTATTGCTAGTCTCTGGATGCTACAACATCCCTTATTTGCTCTTGTCTTTATAGCCGTACATATACCTCAACTAAAGGCTCTTCATTTAACCCATCCCAATGGATTCTGTCTTCTGCTCAGACATAACTTGAACTGAGTATAACTCTTAACTTCTGCTCGGAGTCAACAAATATCCCTAGCTTGTCTTTGGAATGTGGACTAGGAGTTTCTATACTATTTTCATATATCATTTCATAAGGATGAGTACAAATATAAGGATACAACTCAGCATATTAAGATTGTTACATGCTATGAAGTTTTTCTTGAGGTAAAATCTACTCTATGTGCCCTTAAGGAGAACACTCTTTTTTCATGAGATGTGTCTCATGACTTGGAAGCAGTATTGCTTATGAATTTAAAAACATATTAGTCTTTATTTCATTTTGACGTAATATGATATTAGGAAAATGATGCCACCCATGAATCTTTCAATAAGTAAGGTCAATCTTATTATTTATGTACATTATAATCGTGAAACTCTTGATAATTGGTATCAATGTGTTGGAATGTTCATAATTTCAGAAATAATTATCAGCTACCTAAGAACCTGCAAGAGTTCATTGAACTTATTCAGTGTTCCTATTTTAATATACTTTCAAATTTGCATTACTTAGAATGATTTTAATGTTAATACAATATTCCATGTTGATTCTGAAGTTGATTGAAAATCTTTTATCATCTCCTTTTTTAATGTAACCATTGTCATTAAAGAAATACCTCTTGGTAATGTTTACCATAAATGAAATGAGTCAGTTAATATACCACTGAATACAATGGTATTTTCTGATAGATTCATGGGACCTATCTGGACATCACTCCAAATATTAATATTTAATAAATTCTAGCACTATGTAATATGTTTCTAATCTGCAAGACTACAAGCACTTATTTTAGATATCTGGTATTTATGTGAGTTCAAAAAGGTGAGTGTTTATGTCTGACAAATGCCTATTTCCAACTGACTTGTAGCTTAAAATTTTCATGTAGTCCCTAGAATGTAGAAGATGCTAATTAAATGCTTAAATGAATGAATGAATTTCTGGTTTGAAATATTTTCAAAGAATTGCTTAATCTAGAATAATTAAAAGTTATCATTTGTTAAGAAGCAAATCTTTGTAACAATGTTTTTGTGAAATGATTCCATTTTCATTTGATATATTCTGTTCTTTGCTTTAGCATCCATTAACTCTTCACAAATCGCAATTTAAGTGATTAGCTGTTGCATTACTAAGGTTTATTTACAGGGTTTTTAAATGGTTATGGGAAAAATACTTTGACTTCAAGCTTTCATAATGTGTTTTCTCTGAAATAGTTTTCTTTGCATGATAAATTTGTTTATGTTATGGTGTCCTCTCATGTAATTACGCAGAATAACATCAGAATCATGAAGCACCAGTGGAAAACACAATGCAATGTTTACAACTTCATGTTTCATTTCACTTTTATGTCTCTGAGTTATTTGAGGGTATATGCCAAACACTGGAACTTTGCCCTCAAGAAGAACTCTTTGGCCTTCTCCACCTTCCATAGCTTCTAGGAAATTGAATTTTATATATTGGATCTCCCAGACTCCTTTGCCCTCTGGCTTCTGAGGTGTGTCCGGACACTGTGAGGCCCAGAGAGTAGATCTAAAGGGGGAGAGTGAGGTGGGACACTGATTGCCCCCACTCGCTGCCCGCGGGGGTGGGTGCCTTTATGGAAGGCCTTATCTCCTTTGGGTGATTCTCTTCTGGAACTACAGCCATCTCCATAACTGCGGTCTTCCTTGCTTCTTTAGCCTAGAAACAGACACAACTCCCTGCTGTGATGGCTTTGACCACACACCAACCTTTATTCATGTTCCAAATCCTATCTATGGCTCTATAAACTGACCCCACATTAAATTCTCTAGAATTAACTCACTTAAGTATGTCATTATTCTCCTTCAAGGACCTTGACTGATGCAAGACATTTTCTCAAATGGCTGCATTTTTAAGCTGTTTTTACTTCTTCCAAATGATTCACTTAGAAATGTGATTTATTTACTCTGTCTCACATAAAAATAAGACAATAATCTACTCCTCAGATTAATTTGTGAACGTATATATGGGAAGTGATGCGATAGCCCTGATATTCTACAGCATAAAGCACATTAACATTTATAAAGGTAATCATTAATCATATTTGCCATGACACTATGATCCAGTACTACCATCATTTTTCAGACTTTGCCTATTATTAAAATGCCATGTTGACTTAGATTATGTCAGTATGTAACATTGCCAGCCTAGCTGATTTTGATAAGTCAAAGCTAAAATACAGAGCAAGGTAGACATGTCTTATCCAAATGACCCTTTTAGGGTTTATTATTTTTAACAGTACTTCCTACATATAAGCAATTGTTTCTGTAACACTTCATTATTTTTAAAAATTTGCAAATAATTTATCATTATATTTCTTATTAAGTGATTCAACAAATCTTTATGGGGTAACCACTATTCTGGCTTGTTGATGTCAGGTGTCATCAGGAATAAAATAAATCACTCTCATGGAGCTTTCATTCAAGAAGTGCTACAGAGAGAGTAAATATGAGTAACCAACACACATGGGTAGGTGCTGATAATGCTATGAAAAAAAAATAAATATGGCAAAGAGATGCGTATGGATGGAGCTATCAGACAAGGCAAGGTGTAAGAACAATTTAACTTCTTTGTTCCACTTCCTGTCTTTTGGGTTATTGTTATCATGTTTTTCATTTTATGTATACATTAAACCCTAGAAATGACTATTATTGCTCTTTTGTGCAGTTAATATTTATTTATATCTTTTCAGATAATTATAATTTTACTTTTTTTATTCCCTTCTGCTTCATTGGACTTCCATTTGGAATTTGTTTCTTTTCATCAGAAATCTATCTTTTATTTCCTTTATTTTATTGAGAGTGATAAATCCAGAATTTTGGTTGTTGCTGTTCAAAAATTGTCTTTATCTTTAATCTTAAATGAAAATTCCTTAAGTTTAGGACTAATTTTAGCATTTTAAGATCCCGGTTCTCTGACATCCACTGATTCTGTTGCAAAGTCATATCTCAATTAATTCTCTCTTCATCTGTGTCCAATCTGCTGTTAAGCCCAGCCATTGATTTCTCAATTTTAAATATTGTACTTTTTTTCAGTTCTAGAACTTGAATTGGGTTTTTATAGCTTTCAATTCTCTGCTAAAATCTCCAAGCTCATCTGTTATCTTTTTCAACATATTAACCATGGTTATTTTAAAGTCTGTGTCTCATAAATGTTTTATCAAGAGCTCCATGGGTTATGCTTCTATTGTCCATTGCATTGCTTTTTCTTTATTTTTGTCCTTATTGTCTTAATATTTGTATGCCTGTTATTTTTGAGTGAGTATTAAGTATTGTAAATCTGAAATTGTAGAAATAATATGAGGCTTCAGAGGATGATGATGATACAAGCCTGAGAAGAGAATTTACATTTACCTTTGGTAGACTGGGAGCATTCTGGAAGCATCGTCATCCAGTGTTAGGGCTTAAAATGATTTAAAGCTGGGTTCTAACCTGTGTACAAAAGTGATCTATTTTAATTGCACCCTTACTTATCTTAACCAAATATGGGAGATTTAACGTGCCCTCTCTTGGAATACCTAGACTGAAATTTTTGTTCCTCCAGCTTCATAACATGTCAAAGGCCCTTTCAGTTTCCCAACCACTCAATTACTTCACCTGAAATATATAGAAACTCTTGAGGCAAAAGCAGCCCCAAATATTGGCTGTATCTCTCTTCTTCCAGATCTTAGCTTTCTCATTCTTCATTGTCTTATTGATTTTTCATGATTTCAAGTAAATAGTCCTTAATTTTTCTCATTTTTCTTAGCAAGAGAATTTCTCAATCTGCCATAACTGAAAGCATAAATCTGCCCATAAATTTATTACTGAAGCCATAAGAAAACAAGTTCTAATCAGTAGATCCATAAGAATCAGAGAAACGAAAATATTGGGTAAATGTCTGCCAGTTTCAGAGATTCAACTTTAAAATTTTAGATGCAGATTCTGAACTAAAAAGAGTAGATTCTAATGAAAAGGGTTGTGATTGATTAGACTTGAACTGCTTCGTTTTCATCTTATATATACTCTCAACTTGTATATATAAGACAGATCTTAAAAGAAAATGGTGTAAAATTAAGTTTATGCAAAGGCCTTAGGACACAGAGACATACAAATTGGAGAAAAAGGAATTAGTGTAAATTACAAGGAGTATTTTTTAAGATCACATATTTAGGCATAAAATTTAATTTTCTTGAGGCACATGAATGTGAGTTAGTTAAACATTCAATTTTGGCTCAGTTCATGATCTCACAGTTTGTGAGTTTGAGCCCTGCATCAGAATTTCTGCTGTCATCACAGAGTCTGCTTCAGATCCTCTATATCCCTCTCTCTGCCTCTCTCCCCACTCACACTCTCTCCCTCAAAAATGAATAATCTGAACATTTAAAATAAATAAATAAAATTTAATTTTCTTTGCAGTAAAAATAATTTTACAGTTTTGTATTTTTTACTTTAAATTTCATGTCAATTTTAGATATCAGTCTTTGTTTTCCACTGTTATCCTAAAAAGTTAAAAAAGTAATATTACCATAACAATGAGTAAAATTTGGACAAAATTAATGTATAATACCACCATTCTATCAACTAATTCATGTTTATTTTTATCTTCTAGTACTATCCACAAATGTTTATTTTTTACATAGTTGCAATAAGATATATAATATTTCAAGTCATTTTTTAAAAAACTAATAATATAATAACATACCTCACCATTTAATTTCATTAAATATTTAAATGTTTGCATTAAAATCCCAATGTTTCATTGATTCCTAATTATTTTGTTTTCTTAAACCCTACTCCAGGGAAATCAATAATGCACTGTTGTTTCATATTTACCAGCATTAACTTGGAGATAGATTTGGATTTGAACAAGGACTCTTCCACTTCTCACATCATTTATTTCCCTGAGTCTGAGTTCCTGCATCTGTAAAATGGGATAATAAGGAAACAATTAAGAAATGACTGTGAGGATTAGTGCTAATTCAAGTAAAGCCCTAATCATGGCCTGGCATGTAGTAAGCACTCAATAGATAAATATCAGTTTAACAATCTCATTTAATCTCAAATAATCAGAATTTGAACTAAAATATTGCATACATACTAACCAAGAAGAAATGAACCCTAGCTCTGATATTAGAATGGTGGCTTTAAATCCTGCCCCCATCACTGGCTGCCTGGCTAGTTGGGAAGTTACATAATTTTTCAAATCCTGAGTTGTCCTTTCTGGATTTTAGAGAGAGAAACACTAACATAAAATCTGCAAAAATCACTAACACAGTGCTTAACACATTAAATTCAGTATTAAATTCCTTTTCTCTTAGCTTTCTCCTATCAAACTCATAGAACACGTCTGTCTCCATGAACATTATCCTCTCTCTACTCCTTCTCCAGTGACTCAGCAAGTACGTTAGAAGCCTTTCTCTTGACAATTGTAGTTTTTAAAAATAACAATGGTGTTTTGACTATTTTTATGTCCTTTTTGACTATTCTTGGATGCAAGAAGTTTCCAGGAAGAAAGTGCTGTGTTTATTTGACTACTATTTACCTTTCTGTGATGGTCAGAATATAATATAATAAAAGTCAGTTATTCCTTTCCTGAAGCATTGCATTTTTAAGGAAAAGAGCAGGGGACTTTGTTACAGATAGATTCAGTTTTAAAATTGGGACCCTGATAATTATTAGTTCCATAAGTTTAAGAAATCTTGTTAGTTAACTGATCTGAGTCCCAGTTTATCTATCTGTAAAAGCTGATTGATAATATCTTCTCTTAGAATCAAGTAAGGGCTACAATGAAATAATGCATGTAAGATATTCACTCAACTGGTAACTGTGAAAAAAGATTAATTTTGTCTTATTTTAATAACTTCTCAGGTACAGCTATCCAGAGAACCAAAATATCTGTGTATGTTGTATTTGTTCTTATTAAGAACTTTTACAAATAAGAAAGCTGTAACTGTAGACCCTGGGTTTTTTTGTTTTGTTTTGTTTTTGTTTTTGTTTTTGTTTTTCGATGTCATTTTACTCAGTAGGGACTGTGGTTAAAGCTGAAAGCACTTACCTGAGAGGCTAGAGAGAGCTCTTCACACCAGTATTAACTCCATCTTTGGTAGTTCTATATCATTCAACTCTTCCTCACCTACCAGCTCCAATAACCAAACCAAAGTCTAAACCCTGTAAGTTGTTTAGCACATGAGATGTTTGCTTTAGTATATGCTTTTGTTGAAAATATCATTTGCTCTTAGAAATGCAGTACTGTAACACACAGGAAAAATCTTTTCAATTGACTTCTCTCCATGTTCTCCCCACCAACAAAATCTAATGTATAAATTTGACCTTTCAATGATTATCACAATAATAAAATGTCCCTTAAAAAGTAAGTGTTCTTTGGTCTCAGTGATATAAAAGGTATTTTAATCATTGGATAAGAAAAAGGGATATTTTTCTTGCAATTAAGTAGGATAAGAAAACGGCACCGTTACATAGTAAATTGTCATCTTTCAGAAAATTGTGTTTTTCTCCCTTGGTTCATTTCAATTATAATCTGGGGATTGTCAGTTCCTAAGGATAAGGGAAACATATTTTTATTATATAGTGAAGGAAATAAGCTAGGCATATTTCTTCTTTATTTTTTAACTCTTTATGCCTTATTATTTAAAAAGATGGAACTTATTTTTACAGAATTTAACCTAACCCTCCTTACTTATAAGTAGGAAATAACCCTCAGCATCTTTGTCATCTCCATGCTACTTCTTAATCATGTCAGTGAGGGGCTTGGAGCTCAAGTGTTTAAAAAAAATCAAGATTCAGGAGCACCCGGGTGGCTCAGTTGGTTGAGCGTACGACTCCTGACCTCAGCTCAGGTACCCCGTGTCAGGTGGGATGCTGGCCATGGATCCTGCTTGAGGTTCTCCCTCTGCCCCACTCTGCCCTTCTCCTCAACTTATGCATTCACACTCTTGCTCTCTGTCTCTCTAAGTAAATAAATAAATAAATAAATGAATAATCAAGATTCAGAGTGAGTGGAGGCAGTAAGAGAGATAAATAAAAGAAATGGGAAACAGGAAAAGAATAAGGAAAGACCTAACTGGGAGAATTTTCCCAAGAGAATGGGTTTCTAAGAATGTCTTGGGCCGTTCAGGCTGCTTTACCAAAATGCCATAGACTAGGTGGCTTATAAACAAAAGCAATTTATCACTCATAGTTCCAGAGTCTTTGATCTGTTTCTAGTGAGGCCCTTCTTCAAGGTTGCAGACTGCCAACTTCTCCTGGTACCCTCACATGGCAGAAGGGTCAAGGCATATCTCTGGGGCCTGTTTAGTAAGGTTACTGACCTCTTTCATAAGGGCGCCATCTTCATGATCTAATCAACCCTTTCCAAAGGCTCCACTTCCTAACACCATGGCCTTGGGGGTTAGTTTCAACATAGGAAGTTGGGAGAATACATTCAGACCATAACAAAGAAGAATACAAAATATATGTGAGTGAATATGTCTTGACTCATAAAAATGTATTTTTTATGCAATTCCCTCATTCAAAGTTAGTCTTTAATAAAAAACTTGCATTCAAGAATATCTTGGCCGATTAGAACAATGGTCAAAAATGATCAAGATAAATTGTAATAGAGATTTAGAAAACATCCTACACTTAGATTTAAATTAACGTTTGAAATTATGAGTAAGGACAAAATCCTAAGTTTTTATGTATTTGCAAGGCTAATCACTGCAATATTAGGTTAAATTAATAGAGCTACAATTTCCTTTGTAAGCTACGTGGGTCAGGCCACATCAGCACATTAATGTCACCATTAAAAATACTAAAGAGCATTCTGTAATGGGCATTCAAAATATTGAAATGCACTGCAGTTTAAATCCACTTTATGTGGGAGAATTATAAAATAACCACGCTTTTAGCATTTTAGTTTAAATAAGGGAGAAGGCTTAGCATGGTCCAAGCCAGACAGCAGATCAAGAGAAAAGATGCAAGTTAAAGATAAGTGTGATTTTGTTCAAGCTAAGGTAAATGTTCTTTTTTCAAGTGCGATTTTGTTCAAACTAAGGTAAATGTAACTGGAGCTATCAAAAAAGAAAAAGGGAAAGCTTCCTTTGAAAGTTTGTGAATTGATCATTACTGAACATTTTCACAAAAACATGTGAATGACTATCACTTAATCAATGCTTCAGATATAGTGTGTTTACACTCAGTATAATCCCCATCCTCAAAGATCTTCTTTCCAGCCGGTTTCTGATTAGAGGATGGCACTGGGAATTGTTCGTGCTGGATTTGGAAAGCAGAAGAGGAGAATTGATTAGTCTCTAGAAACAGCTGTGAATGAACATGGAATTCTGCCTGTTTTCATTGCGGGTGTCTGAGATCACTGGTAGACCCCTTCCTGCTGCTACCAGATGATCTAAATGTCCTCTAGAGAATCTCTTACTTCTCTGCTACAGATTGCTTTCAATTGTATTTCTCGTATTAAGCCTCTAATATCCTGCATTGGGCTTCTTCCTAGTTAAAATGTCTGGAGTAGTCTCCATGATCCTGACTAATCCATGACTGAATGGGAGCTAGATCACATGAGTCCTCAGAGGACAGTATATTAAATACAACATAAATATTAAAAACAACTGGTTGAAAAAGACATTAATTTCTCTTTGTATATTTATTTGACTCAAGAACAAATATGCCATCAAACACTGTTCTCCCAAAATGTATCCCTTTGAACTATGTAATAATCTCATGTAATTAATACCCTGGTTCACAGAAGCAAATTTTATGTATAATCACTGATTGTTCTTAAAACATAAAACATTGACTTCTTTGGAATGCTTAGTAACATTAGTAAAATCATCTGTCGCTAGTTTTCTGTATTCTTAATTGTCTGAAAAATTAAGCCTGTCAGATTATATTAAAGTACTGTTTTCTCTTAGAAGTTTTATTTCATTTATGAGATTTACTTTTCACTCTGAATTTAGGAAGATGGGTAAGCCAAGTACCCATTTTTTTTTTTTTGAGAGGGCAAAGGAGAGACAGACAGAGAGAGAGAGAGAATCAGTGAGAGAGAGAGAGAGGGAGTGAGGGACAGAGGATCAGAAGCAGCCTCTGTGCTGACAACATACAGCCCCATGTGGCACTCGAACTCATGAACTGTTGAGATCATGACATAAGCCAAAGTCAGATGCTTAACCAACTAAGGTACTCAGTAGCCCCTGTGATTGTTTTTAAGTATGAAAGTTTTCTTTTTTATTCTTTTAATGTTTATTTATTTTTGAGAGAGAGGAGAGACAGAGCATGGGCAGGGGAGAGGCAGAGAGAGAGGGAGACACAGAATCGGAAGCTCTGAGCTGTCAGCAGAGCCTGACCCTGGGCTCAAAGCCACAAGCTGTGAGGTCATGACTTGACCCGAAGTCAGACATGCAACCAACTAAGCCACCCTGGCACCCCAGTATGAGAGTTTTTAATGGATTATAGTAAAAAGCAGAATCTTGGTAGGCATTGATGCTAAAAGATACATTTAATTTCCAGCTCCACTACTTAACAATTCATGATACTAAAACTGTTAGGATAATGTCCACTCCTAAGAAGGTTTGGGTAAGATTAATTGAGACATCATGTGTAAAGCTCTTAGCACAATGACTTAACTCCTGCTCAATTAATATTAATCCTTTCCTCTTTCCCTTGAGACAGGTTTTTAAATTCCTCAGAATACCGAATCTTGAATTCCTCTCACCTGCGTTCACATGTATCAAGTTCATGGTTTCTCAATGTATTGAGAGATCACCTGCATCAGAATGACTGTGCTAGTTCAAAATATATAGAGATCTATAAATAGATGAATGATAGATAGATTCAGGAGCTCCAACTATGGAATGTATCTTTGGGAATAGGGGATATAAATCTGCGTTTTAACAAGCTTCCACATGTTAT